CAAACATGGCAATTGCGCCGTCTACGCGTTGTCGCGCAGGGACCTCCAGTACTGGTATCACGTAGAAGGCTTGAGGGGGCGAGCGCTGGTGGACAAGTATCGCGCGGAGACCGGGGTATTTGCACATTGGGTCGCCCTGGAGAGGTGGCTGAAGGCGCCCTCCCAGCAGCTGGCAATACTGGAGAATGCTGAGGAGATACACAGCCACGTATGCGGGGAGTATGTCCTGGAGCAGCTGCAGAAGGGTGTCTCGGCCGAGGAGGTGAAAAAGGAGTTATTGGCGCAGTATCTCGTGGATTGCAGGACCACGCAGCGGCTCGTAGCGCATCGTCGCTATCGCGAGCAACGTGGCGAATACTGGACCAGCGAGCACCTAGAGCAACAGGAGTGGGAGTTCTTGTATTCCTTGGTTTCTCTGGATAGCAAGCTCGGCCACAACCGGGCGGTTGGCTGTCGCGCCCGGGCTAGACCTGGTTTGGAGGCTGTGCGTGTATCTTTATGTCAGCGCTTGGGCGTGGCGGAAGAGTTGGTGCCTTTGCACAATCTATCGGTATTTTTTGGTGGCCACGAACGGCATGCCAAGTTGGCACTCGCGTATCCAGATGCCTTCGTATACAAGGACGCGCTGCCAGGTCCTGTGGTGGAGGCCTACGAGAGGACCTTTTTGGGCCAGGTGCTGCCGAGGACTGCACGCGCGTGTATCTCCGACCAAGAGCAAGGCTGGTATGCGAGAGCTTGCAGCGTGGCGACAGCTGACGGTTGCATAGTATTCCCGAAAATGGCGGCGGACGCTTGTCTTATTGCTGCAGTCCGAGTATGGGAATGTCATGGATTGCCGTGTGGATCTGGGCATGCCGGCGCATGTCCAGGGCGTCCTGGCGGCATTGGCGCCCCACGGACGCGCGGGCGATGTGTCCGCGAGGAGGCGTATCGGCACCATGCTGGGACACTTGGCCCCTGATGTATGGGTGCCAGGAGCGCAGCTTGCAGTATTGCGCCCGATGCGTGCCATTAGGGACAGGCGCATGCCAGAAGACGATGAGCACACAGACTCGTCTCTTTAGTATGCTTCCAGAGCACGTATGCGTCCGCCTCGCCTTGTCCTGCTGCTCCTCCTCCTCCTCCTCCTCCTCCGGCGGGGCACCCATGGGGACAACCATCGGGACCACCATCGGAACAACCATCGCGGCAACCATGGGGACAACCATCGGGGCAACGATCGGGACAACCACAACCATCAGGACAACCATCGGGACAACCATCGGGACATCCATCGGGACAACGATCGGGACCACCATCGGGGCAACCATCGGGAGAACCATCGGAACAACAATCGGGACAATCATCGGGACACTCATCGCGACAATTATCGGGACAACCACAACCATCAGGACCTCCAACCAGAGAGAGGTAGTCACGTGTATTTCGTCGACGAGTGAGCCAGTATTGCACATTGAGGCCGGAACGAGAACCACAGAACAAGAATGAGCATATATCGTCTCACAACAACGGAAACAAGTCCTGTGGTATGCTGGCGCCACGCACGTGATACCAGTCAAAATAAGGGTCTTGGCTTGTGTGGTACAGAAACGTTAAAACGTCGGAAAACGGTACGCGTGCCCATTGTTGGAACAGGGGTATAAGTCGTATACTAAGCTAGTTTCCACAAGATGTTACCACAAGAAGTCATTGTAACCATGCGCCAGTGTAGTAGCCAAGGTCGTCCGCAGGCCACGAAGTGAAGTGTCCGAACGTCATAGGGCGGGAAGCTGGGTGTGGGTGGTGGCGAAGAGTCGTTTGGAAACTTGGTAGAGCTTGAACCGGCCCCCCCACAAAGTGGGGGTATTGCCCGCCTCCTATGAAAACCCTGGCACTGGTGAGAACGGAGTGTCCCCAGACTTAAATGATTGTTGTTGCTGTTGTTGTTGTTCTTGTTGTTAGTCGTATTATTGTTATTTTTGTTGTAGCTGCTGCTGCTGCTGTTGTTGTTGTTGTTGTTGTTGTTGTGGTTGTTCATGTTGTTGTTGTTGTTGATGTGGCTGTTGTTTTTGTTGTTGAGTTCTCATTTCTAAAGAATAATTATGGTTGATCCCGCCTCCGGGGCACCTTGCGTTTTTTGAATTGAAGTCCCTTTTCCAGGGCTCGCACCCTGCTCTGTATCAGAGGAAGTCTGGAGTCTCAGAATTGTGTTATTGACCGCAGGTTTACAACACCGGATCCCGCCTGATATTCCTCACAATTTATTTCCCAATCGCCCTCTCGTGCGGGACTCCCTCACAATTTGTTGATGAAATCGCGCTCTCCCTAGGGACTTCCTTGCATTTTTTTTCAGACGCCGCGCCTTCGACACTCAGAAATCACGCTCTCGCTGTGGATATCCTCACGATTTACTTGGGAATCGCGCTATCGCTCGAGACGTCCTCGCGATTCATGCAGGACGCACGCCTCAGCAACCTGCCTGCTCGATCTGGCCGCCTGAGCCCGCCTTCCCGACCCGCCTCCGCCCGATCTGCCCGCCTGGTTCTGCCACGTGTTTCTGTTTCTAGTTCTCTCCTGCTAGGTTCTCTCGTGCTCGATGGTCCTCCATTCCCCTTGTCCCTTCCTTCCATCCGTCCTCTTTTCCTCTGCCTTATGGGCTGCACGAAATACACGTTGCAGGTAAGAAAATGTATCCCCATGGGGGTACGATCGAAGACGGAGAGGGCGGGTATCGAGTTTTTTTTTTTTTTTTTTTTTTTTTTTTTTTTTTTTTTTTTTTTTTTTTTTTTTTTTTTTTTATATATATATATATATAATATACGTGTTGAACGGCGCGCGAGCAGGTAAGAGCGAGCAGTCTTGACATGATTGTTGTTGTGGTTGTGGTTGTTGCGGCCTTTATTTTTGTTGCTGTTGTTGATGTGACTGTTGAGTTTTCACTTTGAATAACTTTTGTTGATCCTTCCCTACCGGAGCACATTGTACATTTTGAATTGAAGTGCCCCTCTCGGGATTCACACCCTGTTTTTTACCAAGGAAAATCTTCCCGCTCAAACTGTGCCCTTGCCACCCCAGCTGCAACAACAACGGCTCCCGCCTGATACGTCTTCACAGTTTATTCCGAAAACGCACTCTCGCGCGGGACTTCTTCGCACATTATGCAAGAATCGCGCTCTCGCGTGGGACTTTCTCGCAATTGATTCAGACGCCGCGCCTTCGACACTCAGGAATCGCGGTCTCGCTTTGTATTTCCTCACGATTGACTTGGGAATCGCGCTATCGCTCGAGAGTTCCTCGCGATTCATGCAGGACGCATGCTTCAGCAACCCGCCTGCTTGACCTGGCCGCCTGGGCCCGCCTTCCCGACCCGCCCACTAGGGTCTGCCCGTCCGATCAGCCCGTCTGTTTCTACCGCGTGTTTTCTGCTCCTTGCCCCCCTCGTGCTAATTTCTCTCGTGCTGTATTCTTCTCCCTCCCCCTTCCGTCCGTCCTCAGTTCCCCTGTTTTAGGGGCTGCGCTTTTCGCCCGTGGCAAGCGAAGAAGATACACCCCCACGGGGGTACGATAGAAGACGAAGAGGGCGGGTATCGAGTGTTTGGGATATACGTGTTGAGTGTCACGCGAGCAGATAGGAGCGAACAGTGTTATAATGATTATTGTGGTTATCGTTGTTGCTGTTGCTGTTGCAATATGTGCTGCTGCTGTTGTAACTTTTGCTGTTATTGTTTTTTGTTGATGCTGTTGTTGCTGATGTTGTTGTTGATGTTGCTGTTGCTGTCGCTGCTGCTGCTGCTGCTGTTGCTGCTGTTGTTGTTGTTGTAGTTGTTGTTGTTGTTGTTGTTGCTGCTGCTGCTGCCGCTGAGGCTGTTGTTGTTGCTGTTGCTGTTGCTGATGCGGTTACTGCTGCTGTTGCTGCTTATGTTGTTGTTGCTGTTGCTGTGGATGCCCGTGCTGCTGTTATTGTTGGTGTTGCTGTTGCTGTTGCTGCTGCTGTTGCTGTTGCTGCTGTTGTTGTTATTGTTGTTGCTATTGTGGTTGTTGTTGATGCTGCTGTTGCTGTTGCGGCTCCCGCTGCTGTTGCTGTCGTTGCTGTCGTTGCTGCTGTTATTGTTGTTGTTGATGCCGTTGTTGTTGTGGTTGCGATTGTTGTTGTCGTGGTTGTGGCTGTTGTTGTTGCTGTTGCTTTTTCTGTTGCTGCTGCTTTTGCTGTTGTGACACGCTGCCAGGCTGCGGCGTGTCATCGGGGCCCCTGGCCGCGACACGCTGAGCTAAAGTTCCGGACCGCAAAATCACCTTGAGGCCATATTTTCCCCCTCGGCCCCCAGACATGGGATGCTTTGATTTTTCATTGCGGGGCTTCCAGAAGTCCCGACGCTTTCCGAAACATACTGCAGAACCGCCCGTTGCGAAAAATTGTGACGCCAGGCTCTCAGGGAAAATTTTCTTCGGTCCGAGTCATTGTTCCCGTTCCATGATGAGCGCCCCGTCCGTGTGCCCCGGTTTTCGCGAGGGCCTCCAGAGGCCGAAACTAGTCCAAAACCTCCCGCCGAGATGTCTTCACGACACGAGGAAGCCGGGCTTTCGGGTCACAGCTCGGGCCTTCGGCGGCCCTTCGGGACGATCTGGGCACCCCCGGGGATGCCCTCGGCGAGGCGCCGTTGCTGGACGGCACCCCGAGGCTGGAAGGCACCTCCGAGAGGCGACGACGTGGCCCAGCGCGAGCACGTCCTGGTATTTGGGCACCCCTGGGACGCCCCAGGTGAGGCGCAGTTGCCGGAAGACGCCCCGAGGCTGGAAGGCACCTCCGAGAGGCGACGACGTCGCCCGGCGCGAGCACGTCCGCGGGCAGGAGGAGTAGGAGGGGGAGGAGGAGGAGGAGGAGGAGGAGGAGGAGGAGGGGGAGGAGGAGGAGGACAAGTGAGGAGGAGGAGGAGGAAAAGGAGGAGAAGCGACGTCTGGGCACTTGCCCCCTCGGTCCGAGCCACCTGACCCGTTCCATACCAAGCGCCGCGCCGGGCCCGATGGCGCCCGCGACGCCGCTCCTGCTCGCCGCGGGACTCGCGCCCCTCGCCCGCGCCCTGCACCTCGAGGCTGCCGGCGGCGGCCTGACCTGCGACCTCGCCGCCCGGGAGGCCCAGGGGCAGCGCCAGCTCGAGTTGTTCTTTGTTTGTTGTTGTTGTTGCTGTTGTTGTTGCTGTTGTTGTTGCTGCTGTTGTTGCTGCTGTTGTTGTGTTGTTGTTGTGGTTGTTGTCGTTGCTGTTGTTGTTGCTGCTGTTGTTGCTGCTGTTGTTGTGTTGTTGTTGTGGTTGTGGTTGTTGTTGCTGTTGTTGTTGTTGTGGTTGTGGTTGTGGTTGTGGTTGTGGTTGTGGTTGTGGTTGTGGTTGTGGTTGTTGTGGTGGTGGTGGTGGTTATGGTGGTGCTGGTGGTGGTGGTGGTGGTGGTGGTGGTGGTTGTGGTTGTTGTTGTTGTTGTTGTTGTTGTTGTGGTTGTGGTTGTGGTTGTGGTTGTGGTTGTTGTTTGCTGTTTCGTTGTCGCTGGTTTTGTTGTTCTTTGTTTCCTTCCTATCTCCTGGCGATGCAGTCAACCCGCATAGTATGGACGAGCGACTTCCAGAGGTTGCCCTTGCATCATTCCCCTGCGGCCGGCCCTCGGCCGCTCTCGCCGGCCGCGCCCCGCTCGCGGGGCGTCGGCATGGCCTCCCGAGGCCCTGGCAGCCTTCTCGTGCGGTCTTGCTCCACGGCTTGCCTGTCGCGGGCGTGACTGGGGAGGGGAGGGGGGGAGGGAGGGAGGGGGGGGCGGGCAGCGGCTGGCCACGTCACTGGGAACGCCCAGGAACGGCGAGTGGCAGTTCCCAGGCGGCGCGGGCGCGAATCGTGACGGGAGCCAAGGGGGAGGGGGGGGGGCGGGGCCCGTCACGGGCGGTACCGCGAAGGATGAAACGACGAGCTCCTCTCTGGGCGCCTCGAGGCAGTCGAGCGCGGGCGCCTCGAGCGAAACTCGGGTTTCTTGGAACCTGTTTTTTTCTCACAGCGGGCGTCTTCGCCTGGTTTGGGGCCCTGGGGCCCTCACATATCGATCTGGCGTGAACAATCGAACAGTGGCGCAACAAAATTATGCGGTCTGGGACTCCGGTCGTGATTACTAAGCCAGCTTGACCAGGCTCCGGGGGGAGGGGTTTCGGGAGGGCGGAGGAGGGAGGAGGAGGTGGGAGGAGGGAGGACGGAGGAGAGAGAGAGGAGGAGGAGGAGGAGGAGGAGGAGGAGGAGGAGGAGGAGGAGGAGAGGAGGAGGAGGAGGAGGAGGGGAGGAGGAGGAGGAGGAGGAGGAGGAGGAGGAGGGGAGGAGGAGGAGGAGGAGGAGGAGGAGGAGGAGGAGGAGGAGGAGGAGGAGGAGGAGGAGGAGGAGGAGGAGGAGGAGGAGAGGAGGAGGAGGAGGAGGAGGAGGAGGAGGAGGAGGAGGAGGAGGAGGAGGAGGAGGAGGAGGAGGAGGAGGAGGAGGAGGAGGAGGAGGAGGAGGAGGAGGAGGAGGAGGAGGAGGAGGAGGAGGAGGAGGAGGAGGAGGGAGGAGGAGGAGGAGGAGGAGGAGGAGGGAGGAGGAGAAGGAGCGGAGGAGCGAGGAGGAGGAGGAGAAGGAGGAGGAGGAGGAGGACGAGGAGGAGGACGAGGAGGAAGAGGAGGAGGAGGCGGAGGAGGAGGCGGAGGAGGAGGAGGAGGAGGAGGAGGAGGAGGCGGAGGAGGAGCAGGAGGAGGAGGCGGAGGAGGAGCAGGAGGAGGAGGCGGAGGAGGAGGAGGAGGAGGCGGAGGAGGAGGAGGAGGAGGAGGAGGAGGTAGCCATCTCACACGCCGAACAAACTCCAGGGACTCCAGGGGGTCGGCATTTTTTTTTTTGAATTCGGGGTCCTCGGAAGTCCCGACCCCTTCCCCAGGGCCGGTTTCTCGTCTCGAGCGAGTTTTGGACGGCCCTGGGGCCAGGCGAGGGCCCCCAGAGGTCGAAAATCATTCAAAACCGCCTATCTGTTTTTTTCGCCGCATCGCGAGGAGGGGTGGGGGATTCCAGGGCAGTGTCGCCAAGCTCAGCCAGTCCCCGCGTGCCCAAGCATTCGATGTCTTGATTTTCGCAAGACGGGGTCCCGGAAGTCTCGGCTCCTTCCCCACGGCTTGTTGTTCGCCCCGGGTAGTTTTCTGACCGTCCCGGGGCACCGCGATGGCCCCCAGCGGCGGGAAACTGTTCAAAACCGCCCGTCGTGTTTTTATTGTTTTTTTGTTTGTCACAGCGCGAGGGGAGGTGGCGAACTCCGGGGCATTGTCTTTCCCTGTTCAGCCAGTCCCCGCGTGCGCATACATGCGATGCCATGACTTTTCAGTACGGGGTACCCGGAAGTCCCCATCCCTTCCCCAGGGCAAGTCTTTCGTCTCGAGACGTGTTCTGACCCTTCTGGGGCCCCGCGATGGGCGGAAAACTGTTCAAAACCGCCAGTCGTGATGTCTCGTGTCGAAGCGAGGGGAGGCGTGGGATTCCAGGGCATTGTCTCCTCTCTCCCTGACTTCGGATCCGACGTGCTTTGCGCGATTGAACAAGTAGGGCGGAAATCCTCGCCCTGCTTTTCAAGCTTCTTTTATGTCCATTGCCGTCCTTTTGTGCCGTCGCTGTTTCCGCCATACTTTTGCGGACATTTCCGCCCCTATGTCTTCGAGGCGGATGTTTCGCCATAGTTGTTCGCATCGTTTGGGGCGCATTCTCGGCACAATGTTCAGTCGGAGAATGAAAGGAAGTACGGCGGATCCGAGCTCAGGGCTCAGACGATGACGTGCTGTTGCTTTTGTTGATGGTGGTGGTGGTGATGATGATGACGATGATGATGAGGAGGAGGATGAGGATGATAATGATGATGACGACGAGGATGATGGTGATGTTGATGATGACGATGATGATGATGCTGATGCTGAGGATGATGCGTATAAGTTTATGATGACGATGATGAGGATGCTGATGCTGATGATGCTGCTGCTGATGATGCTGATTCTGATGATGATGCTGATAATGTTGATGATGATTGTGATGCTGATGATGATTTCGATGATGATGATGATGATGATGCTGCTGATTATGATGTTGATGCTGATGCTGATGATGCTGATGATGATGCGGATGATGCTGCTGCTGGATATGATGATGATGATGGTGATGATGATGATGATGATGATGATGATGATGATGATGATGATGATGGTAATGATGGTGATGATGATGATGATGATGATGATGATGATGATGATGATGATGATGATGATGATGTTGATGTTGATGTTGATGATGATGATGATGAGATGAGGAGATGATGATGATGATGATGATGATGATGATGATGATGATGATGATGATGATGATGATGATGATGATGATGATGATGATGATGATGATGATGATGATGATGATGATGATGATGATGATGATGATGATGATGATGATGATGATGATCATGATCATGATCGATGAGTTCTTCCAGTGCTTTCGGCTGCACAAGCCAGTGGCAGATCAGGTATGCGCTCGGGCGGCCTCGCTTGGGAGGCGCGTTCCAGCACAGAGTGCCACGGGAGCGTTACTCATCATAAAGGTGTGTTGCCACCTCGAAGCGCTAGAAGGAGCTGCCCCCTCGAGGGATACGGCGTATCCGAGGTCAGGGCTCAGCCAGCCCGCCCCCCCCCCTCCCCGGAGGCCGCTGCGAGCCTCGTGGCCGGGCGGGACTGGGCGGGCCTGCGGGGCCACCCGTGCGTGCCGGCCGACACGCTGCTGCAGCTGGAGGCCGGCGTCGAGGACCCGGCGGACGCGGTGGAGTACCTTGGCGAGCGGGTCGGCGGCTGCACCACCGCATCGAAAGGTGAGATCGACGATCCATGGAGAGCTCGTGCGGATCGACGATCTGGGATCGACGATCTGGGATCTACGATCTGGAAGATGAGATCGACGGTCTGGGGACCTATGCGGAACTCGTTCGAAGCCGGGCTCATCTCCTCGGGGTGGGACTTGGCGGAAGTGATCGATAATAGCAATACATATACATATATATATATATCTATCTATATATATATTCGTATTAATCAGAAGAAGAAGACCCATGCATAGTGTTTCTTTTCCCTCTCTGGGCCATACTCCGCGTTATGCCCCCACTACGCCCCCCCTTCCCCCCTATCGCGTAACGCTCCCCCCCTCAGTGCGTCCCCGGCACTGCCGCACTGCGTCTGGCGCCTCAGTCTGGGGGAGGGGGGGGGGAGCGCTACGTTATGCCCCCTCCCGCCCCCTCCCGCCCCCACCGCCCCCCCCCCCATAACGCCCGCTATGGCCGCGAGTCAGACATGCGCTCCTCTGGAATCACCTGCAGAGTGCCTGGGCGAGCGGGCCGGCGGGTACCCCCCCCCCAGACCGCCGAAAGGCTTTCGCGGACGTCTTAGCAGATTCTCTCAGGTCCAGGCGTGTTTGTTTTGTTGTTGGTGGTTGTTTTTCTATTTGCATATGTACATAGGTACGTATACTAGTATGATGGCTTAAACCATATTTTCAAAGAAGGGCGTGTTCGCCCAGCCCTCCTGCATGCGGGCTGACTCGCGGTGCCGTGTCCCGGCTTCGCCCCGACGCGAGTGCGGATCGGCTCTGCCGCGCTGCGACGGAAAAAGTTCGCCCAGTTTCGGACCCTGGGAACCTCACAGATCCATCCGGCTCGAACAGTGACGCAGGAAGGTCGGATCTACGGCTTCGGTCGTGATTTTTCGCGACGTCATATTTTTCGGCAAGGTCAGATCTCAGGGGATTCCTAGTGGGTCTCTAGCCTCGGGGTGCTTTCCAGCAGCTGCGCCTCGCCGAGGGGTCTTCCCGGGGGTGCCGATCGTCCCTTATGACCCGAAGCTCGAGCATCCTTGCGTCGCGAAGAGCAAACCCGTCGAACAACGGTGGTCTGGGCGCGAAAGGGCCACCCTCTGCTGGAGTGAGTTGTGGGTCTGGGCCCGCGGGGACCACCCCCGCATCGGCCCGAAGCGGCCTGCACGCTCGGCCTTCCCCCCGCTCGCGGCCTCCTGAGGCCGCGCACTCTTAAAGGTCACCCTTGGCGCAGGGTCGCTCCTGCGTGTAGCCGAGGTCGTCGCGGACGTAGGGCCCGGGCCAGGGGCGGCTGCGGGGCTGTCGTTTCTGAGCGTGGGGTCCCAGCACGCCTCCTGCGTCAAGGGCCTGCTGCCGAAGGTGATGTACATCGGCGTGGGCCATTCCGGATCGACCACCCTGGCCGACGCGATGAACCAGCACCCAGATCTCACCTATGGCCAGACCAAGGAGCACAACTGCATCTGGAACTACAACGGTGACAACAAGGCAGGATTTATCGAGAGGTACACGGCGCAGTTCCAGGTAAAGTGCTCGAAGAAGATCGCCTTCGACTCGAGTCCCAGGACCATGTTCCTGGGAGACCCGGCCGACGAGCAGACCATCACTTACCCGATCGCTAAGAAGTTTGGCCTCGGTGTCGGGGCCGTGGCTGCCCTGAAGGACGTCTTGGGCGCGGATGCCAAGTTCATCACCATGTTTCGCGATCCCGTGCCATGGGCGATGTCGAACGGAGTCCAGGACGTGCTCGATGCCCATGACTTGACGGACATTCAGATCAACAGGTCGAATCTCGGCTTCGGTAAGGGGTTCCTGAAGGGGCAGACCTTGACCCACGGCTTCTTCGCCAAGCGCGCCTGCTACGCCAATGGTCTTGAGGCGTGGCTGAAGGTGTTTCCCAGGGAAAACTTCCTGTTCCTCACCAGCGAGGACTTCTTCGCCGACCCTCAGGCCGCCTACGACCAGGTGACAGACTTCCTCGGGGTGTCACGGGCCAAATACCCAGAGGAGCTGTCGAATGGTGGCTCTGGGCGCCGGCGGAACAACCGGAAGCACCATGACGGTATCCACGAGCAGTACCATGCTCTGCCGTGGGTGAAGGGTTGCCGTGAAAGGTTGGAGAAGTTGACAGGCCTCAAGTTCAAGTGGGACGACCATGCGGAGTCGACTTCCGCGTGAGATCGGCTCCTGGCCTTTCGTGGGACCTGCTCGAAGAAGCAGAATGCGTTTCGAAGACCTTCGGTGAAGCATTTGCCCACGGCTTGGTTCAGTGGATCGCTTTTTCACCTCCATCTTTCCCTGCTCCTCGCCCTCATTCTCTATATGGTTTTTCTCTTTCCCTTTTCCTGCCCCCCATCACTACTTCCCCTGTCCCTCTTCCCCCTCATGCTCTTCCTCCGCCTCCTCTCCCTCCTCTTGTTCACTCTTGTTGTTCTTGTTCCGAGTATTCATATCGCTTGGATTCTTGTTACGAATCGGCGTGTTATTATCATTATTGCTGTTGCTATCCGTAGTGGTATTTTTATGATTCGCAGTCTGATTATGACTGTCATCACTTTTATTATTAGTAGTCTTGTTACTGTCATTGCAATTCGTAGTATTGTTCTTATTGTTTGGTTTTCATTATCATAATTACTGTTGTTTGAAGTATTGTTACTGTTATTCTTAGTGCTGTTCTTCTTAGTCGCATTACTTTTATGAATGCTATCAGCTGTATTTGTGCGTTCGAGCCACAACTATTTTTAATTATTATTTCGAACGTAATCCGAATCTTGCTAGAATAATGGACAGGACTGGTCGGCTCCGCGGTCGTATTATGTTCGGAAGCCGAACGCGCAACTTAGGGCGCACCAATCGGGGGGCGTTTTATTCTCGGCAGCCGAACGCGCAACCTATGGCACAACCAACAGCAGGCCGTCTCGGTGGCCGAGCGCGCAACTTGTGGCAAAATCAATGGCAGGCTGTGTTCTTCCCGGAGGCCGAGAGCGCAACCCATGGCGCAACCAATAAGATGCTGTTTTATTGTTTCATTCCAGGCGGCCGAGCGCGCAATGCATTGGGCAACCGATCGCGGTGCCCGCGTCGGCGGTCTTGCGATCTTGCGCGACCTATGGCAGAACCCATGGATGGCGCAACTCATGGGCGCAACCCATGGCGCAACGCGTTGATGGCGCAACCCATGAATTGCGCAACCCACGGTGCAATGCATGTATGACGCAACCTGAGGCGCAACCCATGGATCGCGCAACCCATGCCGCACCACATCGGTGGCACACACCTTTGACAGTTTCTTTGGGGATGCGCCCGTTTTATGCTCGGCGTTTGGGTTGGCGGTGGGGCCCAAGCGACGGGTTGTCTTGTGATCCTTCTTCCCCCTGATCCTTTTCCCTCCGTCTCCTTCTCGGGCTATTTGTCTCCAGCTCATTCGCGACGACGCCGACGACGACGACGCCCGCGACGACGTCGACGCCGACGACGCCGATGCCGCCGACGCCGATGCCGATGCCGCTGCCGACGACGGAAACAACGACGACGACGTCGACGAAGATGGCGCCAATGCCTACACCAACGACGCCAACGCCGACGACGATGACGACGAGGACGACGCCGATGTCGACGCCAACGACGCCAACGCCGACGACGACGACGATGACGCCAACGACGCCGATGCCGATGCCGACCGCGCCAACGCCGACGACGACGACGATGACGACGAGGACGACGGCAGGAGCTCCGCGAGGAGCTGACCGCCGAGAGGATCGCCGGGTTCGTGCATCAGGCCGCGGAGGAGGCGTCGGAGCGCCTTGAGGCGTGTCCTGATGCGCGGCCCCGAGCGCCGTCGGTCACTGCCGCGGTCTCGGGTCGACGCGGTCGTCGCGGTCGTCGCGGTCGTCGTGGTCGTGGTCGTGGTCGTCGTGGTCGTCGTGGTCGTGGTCGTCGTGGTCGTCGTTGTGATTGTCGTGATCGTGGTCGTGGTGGTCGTGATGTGATCGTCGTCATCGTCGTCATCGTGGTCGTCGTGGTGGTCGTCTTTGCCGTCCTCACGAGGAGGGGTCTTCAGTAATGGCACGCTCGGGCGTGGGGGCCCACGAGGAGGAGGATCAGGAGGAGTAGGAGGCCAGACCCAGATGACCCAGATGAGAGAGCGCGCCGGGTTCGGTGACAGGAGGAGGAGGAGGAGGAGGAGGAGGAGGAGGAGGATCAGGAGGAGGAGGAGGAGGGGTAGGAAGAGGAGGAGCAGGAGGAGGGAGAGGGGACGGAATATGAGGTGGTGGTGGTGGTGCGCCCACCAGGCTTCATTTATTTGCTCTTTGCCTATGCCGGCAGACTTCTTCTTTCACGCAACGCTCCAGGCGTTCGCCTGAAGCTTGCGCAGCGTCGAACAGATGGTGGTGGTGGTGGTCGACGTCATCACGAGCGCCCATGCTTGCGCGCGACATGAATCGGATGTGGAAAACCATGGAGGCCGAACAAACGAATACCTCACATCACACCCTTTGAACTTGAATTCGAGGCGGCCAGCCCATGGGCGACTCGCCCATGTCGTCGCTCACGGGCCGCCTCACAATTGGCGCGGATTCTGGCCCCCAGGTTCTGCCCAGGAGGAGCTGGAGGAGGAGGAGCTGGAGGGAGGAGGAACCAGTGTACACCCAAGGCGCATCAACGATGCTGCAATAAACGCTCCCTCCAAGTTCCCTCTTTATAGGACCCTGCGAGCAATTATTCTCATTGCGGGAAATGCCCCACTGGTATTTCACCAGCGCCGCGTATCAACGTGACTGTTGCGTCTTGGCAATCCTGAGTCGTGCCAGAGCACCATCCCTGGGACTTCAACACCGCGATTCAACGTGACTGTTGCGTCCCGACAAGCTAAGCCGCACCAGAGCACCATCCAGTTACTTCAACCCTACGGATCCTCGAACATGCTGAAATGTTATACGTAAGACGAATGCGCGCGGCGCTATGGCGAGAGCCACCGTTTGTAACGGACTTGCCCTCACCTTTTGGAACTAGTTCACACGTTTGAGACGAATGTCCGCGGCGCTGCGGCGAGAGCCACCTTTTGAATTTGACCCGCACTCCATCCTTGAATCCGCTGCAGCCTGTGAATCGAATCTGCGCGGCGCTCAGGCAAGAGCCTCATTGTAAGCACAACCTGCCCCTCATCCTGGACGCTGTTGCGAACTCTGAAGACGAGTAGGCGCGGCGCTGAGGCCAGAGGCCCACTGTGAAAACGACCCGCCCTTTATCTTTGACGCAGTTGCACACTAGAATCTTCAGGATCATACAGTCGGGGCACTGAGGAAGGAACCTTTTTCGTTGGGGAGGGGCTCGGTGTTCCTTAGTTGTTTTGCAGTTCGCCTTTGGTTTTGCTTAGGATTTCGATAGGAAATCGAAATTTAACTTATGGGAACAGAGGCCTCGTTCCTTATTTAGGGTTCCTTAGGTCAACGCCCCTTCTGTACATAGTGAAGAAGTCTCAGGCGAAAAGCCCCTCCCGCCCTCCCGACACGCATGCTGGCGCTACAGGGCCTCACGGCCGGTGCTGCCGACCTTGGAGTCGACGGTGGCGACGACAACGGCGACGACGACTACGATGACGACGACGACGACGCGCCGATGGCTCTGCCACAGTTTCGGGTCACGGGGCGGAGCGGGGTGGATGATGATGATGACGATGATGATGATGATGATGATGATGATGATGATGATGATGATGATGATGATGATGATGATGATGAGGATGAGGATGAGGATGAGGATGATGCTGCTGCTGCTGCTGGTGGTGGTGGTGGTGGTGGTGGTGGTGATGATGGTGGTGGTGGTGATGATGATAATGATGATGAGATGAGGATGAGGATGAGATGAGGATGAGGATGAGGATGAGGATGATGATGATGATGATGATGATGGATGAGATGATGATGATGAGATGATGATGACGATGATGATGATGTTGATGATGATGATGATGATGATGATGATGACGATTATGATGATGATGATGATGATGATGATGATGATGATGATGATGATGATGATGATGATGATGATGATGATGATGATGATGATGATGATGATGATGATGGATGATGATGATGATGATGATGATGATGATGATGATGATGATGATGATGATGATGATGATGATGATGATGGAGAGGAGGAGAGGAGAGAGGAGGAGGAGGAGGAGGAGGGAGGAGGAGGGGAGGGGGAGGTGGGGAGGAGGAGGAGGAGGTAGAGGAAGAGAAGGGAGGGGGAGGCAGGCATGTGGAGGAGGAGGAGGTTGAGGAGGAAGAGGGAGAGGACGAGGAGAAGGTGCGGCAGCAGGAAACGGGGGAGGGTGGACGAAAGGAGGAGGAGGAGGAGGAGGAGGAGGAGGAGGAGGAGGAGGAGGAGGAGGAGGAGGAGGAGGAGGGTATCCGTCTGCTCGCTCTGGGGCGGGCCCCCTAGGAGGGCCAGAACATGCGGCGAAAGCCTTCAGGGGGGGGGGGTATGTCACAACCCCTGGGACTCCTCGGGACCACCCGCCCACCTCTGTTCTCTTTCATCCGCCACCGCCTCCCCCCTCGGGTTTCCTTCGACGTACTCACGATATCCCTTGTTTGTTCGATCTTGCTGACGACGACGATGATGAAAAGGAGGCTGGCGTCGAAGGGGCGGTCACGCCAGTCGACAGGATCGGCGGATTTCCAACTTTGGCCACGGGGCGAGGAGGTTCGGGCCCGCGGCTGAACAAGCTTTCCCTGGACCAATCCCGGGGTACGCTTGGAGCAGAGTCTCATGGCGGATCCAGCCGTGGCCACGAGGAGGTTCCCGGAGGCACACCCATTTCGAAAACGTCATCACTCGAAGTTCTACCGAAACATGCGACAAGTGAACGAACAAGAACCGTCGAGGTGGTCGGAGGAGGAGGAGCAGGAAGGGGAGGAGGAGGAGGAGGAGGAGGAGGAGGAGGAGGAGGAGGAGGAGGAGGAGGAGGAGGAGGAGGAGGGGAGGGGGAGGAGGCGGAGGAGGAGGAGGAGGAGGAGGAGGAGGAGGAGGAAAGGGAAAGGGAAAAGAAAACAGAAAGGGAAAGGGAAAGGGGAAGGGATAGAGGGGGAGGAGCACGAGGTGGAGGAGGAGGAGGAGGACGAGGAAGAGGAGGAGGAGCAGGAGGAGGAGAAGGTAGAGGAGGA